CCCTCCCCCCTTTCCCCGCACTCCATAAACTCTTAAACATGTGTTACGGTTGGTTTGTGATCAACCATTCAAATCTCGTTTACCTGCCTGTCTTTCTTGAGTCTTTGTTTTGCGAATTATGTTATGGTGTGCAATTTCGTGGACTGTCAAATACAAGTTTATGGTGTACTGTGTTATTTCATGGGGTGTTCGATTTCTCAAAATGTGACCAGGCTGTGTTGATTGGTATTGTGTGCGCACGTTATTTGACTTTGTGCCAAGCAGTCTTTTTTTTAAATTGCTGTCTTGCTTTGACTTGTGAAAAAAGCGTTGAAATATAAAGACTATTGCTTTTCTCTTTTTTTTCCTCTCTCCGCTTATCTCTTGTTCAATTACAGTGCGAGGAAAATTGTTCTTCGAGGTTCTGTGTATATGATTAAACAGCCCAAGTAGAACTCGATTTTTTATGTATTGAATAACATTTGACAGCACTAATTCGGGCATATATTGTATAATGGCGACGCAAACACCAGTCTCTCAACGTTCTGCACTTAAACGATTCCTGTGCTGGAGCTCCCCGTGTCTTACCTCCAGAAGTGCTACCTATTCCTCCTTCCTGGTCTCTGGGCTGAGATCTTCTAGCAGTGGTGTGCCCTGGGGGTTGAGTTCGATAAAGAAGAAGCTTTTCCACAAGCCTCCTCCTGTCCGCAAGTTATCACTGTCTTCTGAAAATGATCCTGTAAGGTCTTTGTTTCTTCATATTATGTTGTTACACGCAGAGAGAGAGAGAGAGAGAGAGAGAGAGAGAGAGAGCGTAAGAGAGAGAGGGGGAAGGGATGGGATGATCAGGAAAGGTGAAAGAGAGAAGTAGAGACACATACAGAGTGAGAGATAGGGAGAGAGAAGAAAAATTATAGATGTTAGGGAACAGACACCGCTCGTGTGTTCATGTGTCCGTGTGTGAACTTTTCAGTTGTGTACGTATTTAACTGTGCAAAAGCTGTAACTCTAACAAGCAACTCATGGTCGCCTTTACCCTGACCGTAAACCCTACCCCTTGTGTACCTAAAGATGTATATAATAGATTCGAGTTTGATTTGAAAATTTTTATTCATTTCTTGTTTTTCGTTTCGTTGTTCATTCATTCATTTTTTTAGAAGTTTGTTTGTTCGTTGGTTCATTCATTCATTTATTTTATTCATTGGGGTTTTTTTCATTCTTCCTTTGTCATCAACCTCAACACCCTACATAAACAAAATATAATCTTTATTCCCTCCCCTCGCAGTCGTACATCGAGAAGGGCAATGATCTCCTAGAGGAAGCCAGCATGCTGAGCCAATGTGGCAACTTCTCTGAGGCCACGGGCTACAAGGACCTGTCCAAGACGCTCAAGCGGCAGCTGCAGGTCTTCACGGGGCAGCTAGAGGATGCGAGGGAGAAGATAGAGGGCACTGCTCGCTGTTACCATCTACTGGACAAGGTGAGTGGCTGGTGTGTGGATGCTCTGGTGTAATTGGCTCCTTCTTTCCTATCAAACATCTATCGTCCTAATCTCTTCTCCTTCTTGTTTTGTGTTTGTTAATCTCTTGAAACGCCTCTAGTCTTTGGCACTTATGTGACCTTGCTGTGTTGCAAGTGCCGTAAAGCTATTACTAAAACTAAACTAAAAGGATATGGTGTGTGTGTATGCTGGTTCTGTTTGGTGGATTTTTTTTTTATCCCATAGCATGTTTGATCGTTTTTGTTGTTGTTGTTGTTGTTTTTGTTTTTGAGTAAAGAGAAGCACACTGACACAACAATGGCCATTTAGAGCTTGGGGATATAAGCAAGACAGACAGAAACAACAGAAGGAAAGTAAAGAAGTAGGACCTGCCAGTTGCGCCCTCCAGCCACCTGCTTTCTATAGCTGTACTTCTTCAAAAGTCAAAATTGGAAATTTTAAAATAAAGTCCTACAGTTAAAAAGTATCCTTATCACTCTTGTAGAATGGTAAGGCATCCCTTCATCCCTTACTCCTTCCTTGATTCCAAAATCCCTCGTTTGGAGCTTAATAATATCGTGGAAGTATAGATCTGAAAGGATGGAAACAGTACTTGGGCATTCTGCTTACTGATTTAAAATCATCTGAACTGTCAGTCAAGATTCAAAAGGCCAAACTATTTGTTGAATTCTTTTACTTTATGTGTTACTGTTTATCCTGTTCCTGTCATGTAGACTTTTACTCGTGTTGTAGTTACAATCGTAATTACCATCTTGTTGACATGGTGGACTTAACTGTTTTATTTGACAATGTTTTGCTCTCGTTTTTTTGTGTGTTTTTTAAAGCAAAAAGTTACTATTATTGTGTTCATGTGCTTCTCTTTATTCAAATAAACTCTCTTTACTGATACTGAAGTAAACGCAAACGGCACAAGTCAAACCCCCCCGATGACCTCAGAAACCGAAACAGTTCTGACGCAGATAATGGTTCTTTACTTCCGCTTACCTCTCCTTCCTACTTCCTGTGTGCGCATAGTCCCCGTGGTTCTCTCTGCTTCACTCAAACTACCTCGTCCTTCCCGTGTCCCAACACCCACTGCATGCCACAACAGAGAGAGCCCTGCCGGCCCTTGACTCCAGCGACACTGACCTTAGCCTTGAACAGAAGCATTCCAGAGAGCTTCCCGGCATGCCTTGCCAGACCTCTCTGACGTTGATATTCCTCCAGAGGATTGTGAAAAATGACGGAGCTTTGGGCTGTTGTTTGGTCGGGGCCACCAGTTTTGGTTGGGGCGGTTTGTCGCCTCGAATGTTTGTGAATTTTGTGCCTCAACAGAAGTGTCGTTGCTCTGGTTTTGATATCTTCTGAAAAGTGTATGTGGTTAGATAGAGGGCGCCATTTTAGAGGTCTAACATCATTGGCGGTTTGAACGTACAAGTGGTAGGTCCTACATCGGTACTTTCCTTTTGATTTACCCATTTTCTCTCGTTGTTCCTATCTGCCTGTCTTGCTCTGTCTCAAGACTAAATGGCCGCTATTGCGTTTGTTTACTTCATTTTAATCGAACCTAAAACAACAACAGTTCCGACCTCTGTATTATCACTCTACCGTTTTGGTTTTTTCTACCTTGCTTTTCCCACTACCCAATGTCTATTGTAGAGACAATGTTTTTCCCCATTGACATGAACTAAAAGACTAGTAATCTTGAAGAAGAAAAGGTTTGATTTTCAAGAACGTAATTACTTATTGCATTATGGTATTCCAACGACGCGGAACCGACGGAAGATGTTGTCTGTGAGTGTTCACCCTGTGCCCTTTTACTTGAATGCTAGAATGGCTAAATACTGCTCTGAATTTCCTTGGGTCTAAAGGCACTGTAGTGTATGGTATCGGCTTTTTCCCCATGGAAGAACAGATCTTTTTACACCACTCCCGACCCCCCGCCCAAGAAAAAAAATGACATCACCCCTTTCCTACTTCCGAACTTTAGGAAAAAGGATCTGTTTAGTCTAGTTCTCTCGTCTTGACTTATAACAAACAGGACTAAAAGTTACACAGAGAGAGCCGCAAGTGTAAAAGTCACACAGGTAGCCACAGTATGTCTCTCTACCGTTCTCACCTCCCTCGTCCGTCAAACTAAGGCGTTCCTCCTACGCCAATATTCACACCCAGGCGGGGATTCTGCCTGTAGGGCGTCACGACAAGGCGCGTCTCTGTCACTGGTTATCGAACAGACTTTTGGTGCTATTCTGGTAACTCTTCTCAAGGTCGCCAGGGATTTCGGGGGATTGCTCTGATCAGATCCTGTACGGAATCCGCAAACTCAGGCAGGGTACAACAGTTCATTGTTCTTTATATAATCCAGCGGCTTTTTGACATTAGTCGCTTTTATTTATTCTTTTATTTTCTGCACAAATTTGGGTCATCCGATATTTCTCTTTGGTTATGATACTTTGGTTCCCTTGTTTTCCTCCGCCTGACCACATGGTTTGTCGGTTGTAGGTTCTATTTTCGTTGTTGTCAATAGAGGGGATTATTTTTTGCTGCAAAAATTATCTTTCAGGGGGGGGGGGGAATCTCTGAAAAGGGGGCTTTATTGGGTTCTGTCATTCGTGTTTGCCTTCAAAGTTATGCAAGAGGCCATCGCTTTGTTTCTGGACTTATAATTGTTGTGTCTTCTGCCCAGCTGTTTCGTGTCCATCTGTGGACAAAAGTTACCGTCCTGTAGAATACTCCACTGTGTGAGAATAGCCTTGGGACTGACGTTTTTGAGTCTAGAAGGGCGGTGAATTCATTCACACAACAACTGACGACAGGTATGCTGTCATTGAAGTCTGTCTAATACACTATGACGAATCTATCTAAGATAGGTTTTGGAGACCTATAAAATCATCTCCTTCTCCTTCATCTCCTCCTTCTTCTTGTGGGTTATAAAAATCTCTAACACTTACATGGTCAAATTGTATCGATAGTGCCGAAAAAACGTAATGTACGTGTACTTTGGTTACTTTCGCGTAATAAATACCACCAACAGGTCCTACTATTTTTGTCTGTCTCTGTGTTGTTTCGGTTTTGTCTATCTTGCTTTTACCCCCGCACTGGATGACCGATTTTGTCTCCATGTGCTTCTCTTTAATTCACCGACAACAAATTATTATCTTTCTGCTTCTTCTGAACAATGTCTCTGCTGTCTTAAGCTGTGGCTGGGGAAATTCAGCCCTTGTTTTGCTGGCTTGCTTTAAAGTTGACATCGAATCTCCAGCCAGTGCCAGCTGTCGTGATTTACAAATTAAGCTATTATCAGGACAGGTTTCTTTCTCCCCACCTCCCCCTCCCCCCACATCTTTGTTTCCCTCTGTCTCTTCGGTGGCCGCTGCTGCTGTCACACGACCAAATAGCTTTACAGTTCAAACCTCACAAAGTCGAGTCGGAGATCCAAGAGGTGAAGGTCTCATGTCCTGTCCACGGTGACGTTCACAAAGGCCGAATGAAGCCGGTCAAATCCTTCTTGGGACACTGCCTATCTCGGCACTAATTGAAGAGACGGTGTTCCGATGTTGACCTTCCCCGCTCCCATGTAGCAAGGGGGGGGG